CACGGGTATTCTTCCTAAACAGAAGAGTCCGGGTAACATTGATTACAGTATTGCCATGTAATTTCTTGAAATTAGATTGAAAAAATAAAGATTGTATTTTTTTTTTCCTTTCTTAAGTGAGCAATAATTCGATCGAACATTTCGTTTGTCCTTTAAGATTAAGGTGCCTCTGGATTCTCTCGGTATTGCTTGCTTTTGTCTGTGTGTGTTTTGAATAATACAATTACTGATTGTAACTATATTACAATGAGCTGGAAGAAGTTGAATACTGTGCCTGTATAATAAATGGCTGTTATGAAAAAATTTAGCAATATCATGTGAGATGTCCAATGGATGCATATCATCAGCTCATTTATCCTTTCAGAACTAGTCAAGGATTATTCTTAGTTCAATTATCTGTTTTAGTGATGACTTACTATTGAAACTGTTAAAATCTCGTGTTCTATGTGCGAGGGGTACATAATTTGACCACAACTTTTCCAGCTTCCAAATGTGATCAAGATTAAATATAATTAACCATGGAGCTGATATTTCAACATTTTGTTGTTATTTGGTGGGAAATTATGCACGGTTCTGTTTGAAATATGTGTCAATGATGTGTGTGGTGTGTACGGCGGAACAGAGAACATAACAGAATGCAGTTGCAGAATTAAACTGAATTGAAGATTGGAAAAGTTACCTTTTATATATATACATATATATTTAATTTTATAATTTTGTAAATGAGATCAAAGTGGCTGTAAATTGAATTGAGGTACTATAGAAGCAGATTCCCTGTCCGTTTGAAAACAATTGTTCTTTTCTGTGTTCGTTCAATTTAATTAGAAAGTCCCATGAAAGAAATGGAAGTCTATTATTTATCTCCTATATGTACCGGCTCTATTCTGAAAAATGGAAAGTGACTGGTCTAACAGCGTGATTGGATTTATTTTCATCTTGAAATTTTCAGTTAAGTGGAGACTGCTGATTAATCTTTCATTGAATGAAAATCAAATTTAGGGCATGATCTGATACGAGACGAAATTATAACGATGAAAGTAGATATTATATGGACAAACAAAATAATGATTGAAAATCAATGGTAACCTGCAATATTAGTGAGTTGTTTTTTCATTCCATGACTAATAATAGTATTGAGTTAATTGGTGGAAGAAAAATACTGAATCCATGACTAAATTATTTCCTGAAATATTTTTGTAGGCATTTGCGATTTGGAGTAAAAATTGCATCTAATAAGATGAAAGTTGAAATAAAATGATATCTAGTTGTCGTTAGTATTAGATTAAGTTTAAGTGAAACTCGATTTCTACTTGAGATATTTGCTAAACAATTGAGATTGATGTCTTTTGGTTATGTACTGCTAATTACTCCCCATTTATTTGTTTTTTTTTTTGTAGGTTACCATTCATCGGAACTCTGACACTTGCTAAACATTACTTTGCCGATCATTACTTAAGATGACAGATAATATTTTCTCTGTACTTTTAGATCGCCACAATTTCATTGTGCATGCCATGTATGGAAGTGCAGATAGTGGGTTTTATGGTTACGATCATTTTGCTTATGATGGTTCTCTATTGCTTACATCACTCCATTAGTGAAATGGTTGATTTATGGAATTTAGTTCCGTTTCATTTTCACATTTCAGTTTATATGTAGTTTGCCTTCTTTCTTTTTTTCAAGATGCTGATACAAAGTCAGATTATGATTTGAATTAAAAATCATATCGATTGGACATCTGCCTTTTTTCTGGACCAATAGCAAAAGAGCTGTTTTATACCTGCATGTTTATGATGAAATTTCTAAACGATCAACTCTTTAATCTGTTAACAGAACTCCTTCAATATTGAAAACCTTCTGCAAATTATTATTTGCCTTTCCATTTTTCTCTTTGGCAAATGAGCTTTGGCGATTTTTTTACGGGAAAATAAAAAAAAATAAAGTACTGGACAAATAAAAACACAAAAACAAAAATGTGGACACAATCAAAACCACGTATTTTGTGAATACGTTTTACAATGTAAAACGTATTCACAAAATACGTTTCACATTGTAAAAAAAATTGTAAAACATATTTAGAGAATACGTTTTCCAATTAAAATTGTATGGAAAACGTATTCTTTAAATACGTGTTTTTTATTTTTGGCCACATTCTTTTTTTTTGTGTTTTTTTTTGTCCAGTTGTATTTTTATTATTTTTAATATATAAATTTCCCGAGCTTTGGCCCTGATTTTTGTCTTTTGTCCCTGTTAAAAGTAAATGAGGCTGCAAAACTGTTTTGTATCCTTGATACGACTTTTATGGTTATTAACTGAATTATAAATGAAATTTTAGCTCGCGCGTGTATGTGTGTGTGTTTCCTCTCTCTCAAAAGCTCTTTTCTGACAGTTTCAATTTCCTTATTGGTCTGCAGATTTAGTGTCTCTTAGAGCCTGTTAGCTTATGATAGACACCCGAGCAGGCATATAAAAAATTTACTTTGTTCAGTTATGGAAGTTCTTCCATGTTCTGAAGCTCGTCATGTAGGGGAATCTGGTTGCCCCGAACAGGAATCTGGTGGAGCACCCAACAGCCTCCAAGATGCCGAGCTAGCTATAGAGTCCCGTGTGACAGAGGGCAGTCAATTTATTTTCGACGGTTCTAATGGTGATGATACGTACTATGAGTTTGACTTTGATGGTCAAATTCTCTCGTCGTTCTCACATGAGTCTGAAGATAACAACTTAGGTAAAAGAGATCATTTTGCCGAATCTGGTCTCGTTTTAGAGAACTCTCAGTTAGGTTTGGATCATACAACCGAAAATGAACTGCCTGATGATAATATGGTACAAGATGGACCCCAAGCAGTTTGGGTTAAGGTAATATGGTATTCTATTTTTTTATTTTATTTTATGTCACAAAATTCCATTTGCTGTAATTTGATAATTAATATCCGTGGTCAATATTCTAACATTTGGTATTTACTTATAATTGATATTTTTAGTTATTATTATTTATTTTTTATTTTTTTATAATTGTAGTGGAGAGGAAAGTGGCAATCTGGAATTAGATGTGCGAGGGTCGACTGGCCATTATCGACTTTAAGAGCAAAGCCAACTCACGACAGGAAACAGTATCTTGTGATATTCTTTCCTCGAACGAGGAATTATTCGTGGGCTGATGTGCTGTTAGTTCGTCCTATTAACGAGTTTCCTTTGCCCATTGCGTGCAAGACGCATGAAGTTGGTGTGAAGATGGTGAAAGATTTGACTCTCGCTCGTCGTTTTATCATGCAGAAACTTGCTGTGGGCATGCTAAATATTCTCGATCAGTTGAACCGTGAGGTTTGCTCTTGCCTTCGCCAATTCATTTATTTATTTCACATGCTTCAAGTTTTGAATTGCATCTCATTTCTTTGCCTTTTTATTATTATTATTTTTACAAAAGCAGTCCCTTTTCATTTTTATCACATGGCAATCTAGGCTTTGGTGGATACTGCTCGTGATGTGATGGTCTTGAAGGACTTTGCAGTGGAGGCTTCACGCTGTAAAGATTATTCTGATCTGGGAAGGATGCTTTCGAAACTTCAAAATGTAAAATTTTCCCTCCTTTTTGATGTGTAAAAGACATTTTCTTAAGCATCCACTCGATTTGTTTTTGAGTAACTTCTACATAAATTCTGTACAAGCTTCAGTTTTTATCGAACATCTTAGAGGGGAAAAAAACAATTCAACTTTGAGCAACATCTCAATATCATTGGATTGTCGTTCTTTTCCTTTTTCTTTTCCTTTTTTTTTGGGGACAATAAGTAAATAAAAAATTTACGAATTAAACTAATCAGCGACCGATTATATATATTTCACAGATGATACTGCACCGCTACCTAAATCAAGACTGGCTTCATCAGTCTCTGCATTCCTGGAATCAACGATGTGAGGACGCTAATACTGCTGAAAGCATAGAAATGCTGAAAGAGGTACTTTTCGAAAAAGCCTTACGTCTTTCCTTTCCCCTTTTTCTTTACAACAACAACAACAACATAGCCTGTTAGTTCCAAGCAAGTTGGGGAATTTTCTTTAATTCCCTATTAAATCACTTCAAAAAAATCTTTGCTTGAAGGAATTTTCTGACTCCATCTTGTGGAATGAGGTCAACTCACTAACAAATGATCCGGGACCAGAGTGGAGGAGCTGGAAACACGAAGTTATGAAATGGTTCGCGGTTTCTAATCCTGGGCCCGCCAATTTAGGCCCAGACCAGCCCATCATCGATGATGGCCCATTACCCGCCGGGCCCAGCACAACCAATAAGCGGGCCAAGCTCGAGGTCCGCCGGGCTGACACACATTCAGCATCCACCTCTCATCACCCACCGGTCCCTATTGAAACTGACTTTTTCAGCAATTACGAAATTGTAAGTAGTGCATTATTCGACTCCGGAGCAGTAAGTAAAAACGGGGCCGTTGAGGATGTAAATAATAAGTGGAATAATCTAGTTGTCGAGCCTAGTAACTTGGAGGAGGCTGTTACAGTTACTCCTAGGCCCTTTGATTCGGTAAATCATAATAGGCAGTGCATGGCTTTTATCGAATCGAAAGGGAGGCAGTGCGTGAGGTATGCCAGTGAAGGTGATACGTACTGTTGTGTGCATCTGTCCTATCGTTTTGTTGCGAATTCTGCTAAACGAGCCGAAATAACAACACCAACAACACCCGTGGACTTGCCTATGTGTGGGGGGACTACTGTTTTAGGTACCAAATGCAAGCATCGAGCATTGGTTGGTTCTTCCTTTTGCAAAAAACATAGGCCCAGGGACGGGGAATATTTGGATTCCCTTCTTACAAATAATTATACCATCAATAGTACTAATAATAATAATAATAAACTCAAAAGGAAGAGTGATGAAAATCTTAAGCATTTGGAGAGTATTGTAAGTACTACCAGAGAAGATGAACTCTCGGCATGCCAAGATCAACTTTTTGTTAATATACCCGAACCGGCTCAGCAAGCTGATGTTAGTGATAAGATTGCGCAATGCGTGGGTTCATCCGGTCCTGAAGATGCCGATGGGCCCTGCCTCGAGAGCCCGAAGAGGCACTCACTCTATTGTGAGAAGCACATACCGAACTGGCTCAGACGTGCAAGAAACGGGAAGAGTAGAATCGTGTCCAAAGAAGTTTTCTTGGAGCTCCTGAGGAATTGCCCCTCGAGGGAACAAAAATTACTGTTGCACCAGGCGTGCGAGCTTTTTTACAGGCTGTTCAAGGGCATACTATCTCTGAGAAATCCGATACCGAAGGAAGTACAATTCCAATGGGCCGTTGCTGAGGCTTCTAAGGACACGCGAGTCGGGAGGTATTTGACGAAATTGGTGGTCCGCGAAAAGGAACGGCTAAAAAGGCTCTGGGGTTTTGAAGAAAATCTGAATTTGCAATATTTTTCTGCCGTTGACGAATCGGTTTCGATTCCTGTGAAGACTGTCAACAACAACAGCAATGATGATCGAGAAAAAAACATCATCAGATGCAAAATTTGCTCTCAGGATTTTCTCGATGACCGAGCGCTCGGGCAGCACTGGACAGACAGCCACAAGAAAGAAGCTCAGTGGCTTTTTAGAGGATACGTGTGCGCGATTTGCCTTGACTCGTTCACTAATAGGAAGGTACTGGAGGCTCATGTACAGGAGAGGCACCACGTGCAGTTTGTCGAGCAGTGCATGCTTTTACAGTGTATCTCTTGCGGCAGCCATTTTGGGAACCCGGACGAGCTGTGGTTGCACGTGCTCTCAATTCACCCGTCCAGTTTATCCCTGTTAAACGAGCCTCATCCACAGAAGGTGGAGCCGACTAAGGTGGGCCCGGTGGAAAATTCCTCTCCGAATAACCAGTCAGCCAATCGAAGGTTCGTGTGTAGGTTTTGCGGCTTGAAATTCGATCTGCTACCCGATCTTGGCCGCCACCACCAGGCGGCTCACATGGGTCAGCACACCTCGACGAGCCTCGGGCGGACTAAGAAGGGCATTGAGTACTATGCACGTAAATTGAAATCGGGCCGCCGTTTCAAAAAGACTTTGAATTCGGTATCATACAAGATTAGGAACAGAAGCATGCAGAACTTGAAGAAGCGGATCCAGGCCTCGAACTCGGTTGGGCTTGGGCCAGTGGAGGTCAGAGTTCAGCCCACTGTGCCCGAGCCCACTACAATTTTGGGTAGGCTTGCAGACTCCCAGTGCTCTTCCGTCGCGAAAATATTCAGTTCGGAAATTAAAAAAACAAAAGCACGCCCGAATAATCTTGAAATTTTATCGGTTGCCACGTCAGCATGCTGCAAGGTGAGCCTTCATGCCTCGTTGGAGGCTAAGTATGGAATTTTACCCGAGAGGCTGTACCTGAAAGCAGCTAAATTGTGCAGCGAGCAGAATACTTCTATCGAGTGGCATCAAGACGGTTTTATTTGTCCCAGAGGGTGCACGCCAGGTGTAAGACCACCGATTTTATCGCCTCTGGAGCCATCTTCGGTTAATTCGTTTGGAAAAGTCGGATCTTTTTTTCAGTCGAAGAATCTCACGGCTTCGGAATGGACGATGGACGAGTGTCACTGTGTTATCGATTCTCGATATTTTTCGATGGACCTGTCTGAGAAGAATGTTGTTTTATGCGATGACATCAGCTTCGGGCTCGAGTCGGTACCCGTAGCTTGTGTGGTGGACGAAGTTTTATTGAATGCCGAGGGAGTTGATGGACAAGTCGAGTTTTCTTTTCCTTGGGAGAGCTTTACTTATGTCACTAAGCCAGTGCTCGATAAATCCGTTCTTCCTGAAACAGAGGTATCGACTATCGACAGTTTAGTTTTGTCTAATTGCCAGAAATTCCAGTTTAAAACTTTCCAAATTGCAGATATACCACTTTGAAATTGCTTTTCCTTTTAAATGTTTGCTAATTATGGTCACTGGTAAAACAAGTAACACAAATATCGGGTTGTTATCCAGAGTTTGCAGTTGGGTTGTGCTTGTGCTCCCTCAACGTGCACTTCTGGAGCGTGTGATCATGTTTATCTTTTCGACAATGACTATGAAGACGCGAAAGATATTCATGGGAAACTCATGCATGGAAGGTTTTCGTATGATGAGAGAGGTCGAATCATATTAGAGGTACGACGAGCGTTCTCAGTTTCAACTCATAATCATTCATCAATCTACTTTTGTTGCCCCATTTGATTTTCTATACATTTTTTTGACCTATAATTTTCTTGTTTCATCAAACACTAATATTATTCAGGTACTTTCAGCTGTTACACATTATTTATTTATTTTGCGTATTATTATATGTGCATGCATATTTGCAACAAATAAAGCAAGAATCATTCACATGATTTCTCTATCTCTATAACTTTATGGAAATGCATGCTCCTCAGATTAGATCATTTGATATATAATTCTTTTAAGACACGATACAACGTGTAAAAATTTGCTTAAATTGTCAGGAGGGTTATCTAGTTTACGAGTGCAATCAGAGGTGCCGCTGCACTAAATCCTGTCGAAACAGGGTTCTGCAGAATGGAGTTAAATTGAAGTTGGAAGTATTCAAGACGGAAAGAAAGGTAAAATCAGTCGAGATGTATTCCATTTTTCCCGGACAAGTATAAAATTACCGTTTTGACCTCAGGGCTGGGCAGTGAGGACAAGGCAGGCAATTCTTCGCGGTGCCTTTGTCTGCGAGTATATTGGGGAAGTCATAGATGAAAATGAAGCCAATGAGAGGCGCAATAGGTGCTTTTTTAATTAATTGTGAAAAAAATAAAGAAGAATTAATCCAATCAATCCATTGATTATTGTACTTGGAAATCAGGTATGGTGAGGAAGGTTGTGGGTATTTTTACGAGATTGATGCTCACATTAACGACATGAGTAGATTGATCGAGGGCCAAGTCCCATATGTAATCGATGCCACAAATTATGGAAACATTTCACGTTACATTAACCATAGGTGAGTAGAGATTTACCTTTATCCAACTTAGTAACTTTTCGTGCGTTTTTCTTTTTCGAAAGGATATCTAAGAAAATATTCCATTTTAATTCCGAGGGTTTTTGAAAATCTTATACAATTTTCACTTATGTAGTTGCTCGCCAAATCTTGTGAATCATCAAGTTCTCGTAGAAAGTATGGATACTCAGCTTGCGCACGTTGGTCTTTACGCCAGTCGAGATGTAAGAACTAAGAACTCACATTTCTCTTTAGACGCTAATTTATTTTATTGTCTTAGTGATTTCAAACATTTTTGTATAATTTTTTTTTTTTTT